TAGAACAATTATAAACAGAAAAAACAACTGTTATGGTCATTTATCTATCCCTCGGAAGTCTCTAGAATTTGTATATTTTCACTGCTAATTTTACGCACGGCGTCGTTGTCAGTTTAGTGTTGCGTCTCGCCGATGCAGCATCCAAGCTTTCTGTCTTTGCCGTTTGTCTTTCTCCGCATTGCTTCACAATCGGTAAGATTTGTACTTCCTAGTGCCTTCTTCTTTCATAAGTTCATTTTTCTTATTGTTATTTTTCTATTAACTTCTGTTTAGCAAACCTCTATTTGTCACCGGGAGAAGCGTTTGCGAAGCGGCAATCTTTGATCCTTGTACAGCGATATGTGTATCAATAAAAATCAGTTAAACGGTTTTCCGTAACAACAACTGTAACTTTGATTAACTGACGTAGGCGAGTTTTTCTAAAGTGCCACATGTCTAGTTGATGTTACTTTTAGCGGAATCTTTCAATCATACATTTCTGTAATTTCTTTAACCATTAATTAAAATTTACTTACCCTGATGCGGATGCAAGAAGTTTCTTTTTTTAAATACGTATTGTTTTATTGAGAAAAGATATAATAAAAATGTCACGAGCACGGGACAAAGAAAAAAATCAGAGTCCCCTACAGGAATTGAACCTATGACCTTCCGTACACGGGTCGGATGCTCTAACCACTGAGCTACGAAGGACTCGTGGCGAGTTAGGCCATATACAAGGTTCATGTATGACATGCGTCCTGCGTACTGCTAGGATATCAGAAATGTCGAAATCGTCCTGTTGGTGATGAATAAAGAATGGTGATAAATTTTAAGCTCGGTAAAGAAATGAGAAATGATATAATCAACATGCCACGAGCACGGGACAAAGATAAAATCTGACTCCCCGACAGGAATTGAACGTGTGACCTTCCGTACACCAGTCGGATGCTCTAACCACTGAGCTACTAAGGACTCGTGGCGAGCTGGGCTATATACAAGGTTCACGTATGTATTGTTTTCTTGTTGAAAAGCCTGTCTATGTTCTTAATTAAAAGAGTCGTTTCAATTTTGTTTTAACTCAACAGAAAGTTTGCCTGATGACGATTGCGCTCATAATGTGTACCTAAAGTGCGGCCGAGAGTTCAGGGAAGTTTTACAGAGTTACCCCGATGGGTTCAGACCGAGTGAACTGTGTTCAGTGTACCTTGGTGAAGGAAACTGCAACACAAGGGTGGCCCAAGAGAAGAATTGCACTGAATCCGCAGTATTGAAACGGTTCAAAGACAATTCATTTAAGGCAGCTAGAGTCGTTCTGCCCGCTTTGTGTTCTCTGCCTGACAAAGCAAAGCGAGGCCATTAGTCATCATCTTTCATTATCAATTTATCACTGAAACAGTGAATTACTATATCATCGATATCGAAACGATGCTGTAACCATATAATATGGGAGTGGTATTAAAGGAAAATGTCATAATTGTTTGAGCGAGTGTCGTTTTGTTTTTTACAACGAGAGGCTGGCAAAGAAAGATCTGAATAAAACGAACAAACAAACGAACAAGTGATCCAACAAAGCTTGCCAACTAGCTACCAACCCAAACAACGGCTTCTTAGTATTCGACTTCAGTTAGTAGAGTACAAATATCACTCCAACCGGGTACAAATATTTAACGGCATTTCAACTCCAGAAGATCAGTTTCCATAAACGTCTTACATGACAGATAACTCTGCATAGTTTTCCAAAGAAAATAAAGAATAGGAGCTAAATTGGCCCATCCATCGATGACCGAGTGGCAGTCAGTCACGTCGAGAGAAACGGCGCAACAACAGTGCTTGAAAACTTTCGTCGGGCCGCTTATCCCGACCCGAATGACTGCCCCTAGGTCTCCGAGGGTAGGTCAAAGGAATATTCATGAATTTTTACGGGTGTTAGTTTAAAAGAATTTATGAATACAGTTTCGTTCATTCTGAAAAAAGCGACTTTCAATGACTTATTTGTCAACTCGTTTATTATTAACGAACATTCTTGCCTTTTATTATTCCGGTTAGTAGTTGCGCGCGCTCTCGCTAGGAGACCTAGAACAAATTAGTTATGGTCACGTGACACGTCACATGACCAAAAATTGAAAAGGAAGGAAATTTACGTATTGGTGGCGAATTTACTTTGTTTGTGAAAATAAATTGGCGTTTCTGATAGAGGATAAACATATCTAACTTTCTACGTTTGGAATGAATGTACGCAAAGGTTAACATCAAAGTTTTAAATCATTCAAGATTAAAGGAACAGTATTCCGTTACTGAACATGTACCAAACTTTGATTTTCTGAAAGACGTGAGGAGAGTAAGAGAAGCTTGAAAATTCCGTTTGCATTGCGCTTGGGCGAGTTCGATACTACCCTAAAACATCTCAGAATTACAGAGCAATGATATATTTGTTTTGGCGAAATCGGGAGCTTTTGGCGTTGCTTTCACTGCGTTTGGCCGGAGGACCGAGAGAAGGGAAGCGCTTTGATACCGATCGACGGCTTATTTCTCCCGCCAGCTTTTATACATGCTAAGATAGTCTTGAAAAGGAAAAGCAGAAACGGAACAGCAACAACAAAGACTATGTACGAAAGAAACCATCGAGACATGGATGTGACTGAGGAGGTCTTGTGCCGGAAGCTTCTTGAAGCAAAATGGGTTGCAACGACGCGTTAATAAACTTTTAATTAAACCTCCTTACGGTCGACAAAATCAAACAAACAGGTACTTAATGTTTAGGGAAACGAGCGCAATGAAACCACAATTATAATATAATGTTTAACTAACCTTTGCGATGCTTCATCGCGTTGAGATTCCATTTTTGTTACCTTATTGAGGGCCATATAAACGCGAGCAAAAGTTACTAGACTTGGACTTGCCACAAATTGACGCGAGAAGGGGGTGGGGGGGGGAGGTTCGTACTTCCCTATACCATACGAGGCTAATAGGGATGTGTCGCTGGATGCGGTCGCGTTTTCACGACTTGATTGACTATAATGGGGTTGCATTTTCAAGAGTTAAACCCCTGCCCAATTTATTAATTATTTAAATTTTTTTGCAAAATGGTCTCGTGACATATCACCCGACTTATTAACACAATATTTATACATTCAAATGATAAGGACGATGGTTTCTTTGTGTGCGAAATTTTGATTCAGTTTCATTATCTGAGCCGAAATTAAAGCCAATAAATCATTTCCCACGAGGGAAACCCATTATTTAATTACTTGCGCGCACTCTGTTTTGCCTTTCATTATTCTATTTATTGTTTACGCGCACTCTATTATTATTACTTGCGCACACTCTGATTTGCCGTTCATTGATCCTTTTATCACTTGTGAGCACTCTGATTTGCCATTTATTGTTATGTTAATTACGTACGCGCAGGAGGCAGTGTGGCCGAGTGGTTAGAGCGCTAGACTTGCAATTCGGAGGCACTGAGTTCAAGTCCTGCCCTGACCGCTAACTGGATTTGTTCACGGTAGTCCCGAGTTCAAATACTCGACCATGCTTGTAAATAGCCTTCTGGTTTGCCTCCGGCCAGTTGGGATTCTTAACCAGTTATGTTCGATTTGATTTATTTGTTTCAGATATTTGCTCGGCCCCACTAGCATAAGTGCTATAAATACTGCCAAGGGTACATAAAGGAAATTGTTATTGATATTCTGTTTTGTCTTTAATTGTCCTGCGTATTACCCGCGTGAACCCTGTATGTTTTGCTTATCATCGTTACGTTCACTACGTGGGCGCACTCCGTCTGCTTTTTAAAGTTTCGTTTGTCTTTGAGCGCAATCTGTTTGCCTTTCATTGTTTCTTGTATTAAATGGGTATTTTGCTTTTATTGTCAGATTTGTTACTTAAGCGCTCCGTTTTGTCTTTACCTGGTACGTTTATTTTTTGCGTGCTCTTTTATTTGCGTTTCATGGTTTCCTTGTTTACTCGTTCTCTTTTTGTTTCAGAGTTATACCTTTTTACTTGTACTCACTGTCTGCTCTGTTTTTAGTTATAACTATGACAAGATTCTGCGGTCTTGTTGAGTATTGGCAGCCTTAAGGTGGCTCAATGGGTTTTTGAGGGGTTGATACTTCCCAATTTTGAACATCAACTAAATCACCATTAACAAAGATTTGTTACGATCAGTGTTACAATGATATCGAAGTTGTCATAGCAACGAAATGGCGCCATATACCTATTTTACTTGCAGCCGTATTTCCCGGCACTGAGAACTTTTTTCCAAAGTGCTCACTGGAGATTTTTCTCCAAGAGGCGTTCATTACATTGTAGTATGAGAAAATCCGGTTTAAAAGTAACATTAGGATGCACGTAGCATACCAGTGGTCCAAAATACAGGCAAAAGAGATTTGTAACAAAACTTCTGAGAGTTCTCAACAATCTGGAATACGGTTGACCGAACGCACCTTAACCATCCTTAAAAAGTAAAGTCCTTCTTACAGTATGCCGCAAATGTTAGGTCAGGGTGTGTCAAGGCGTGTGACTCGTTTAGATTTCTCAAAGCTAAGAGGTGTTACCGTTTCTGATGTGAAGTTCAGGGACAGTTTAACAGGGTTCGCACTCTTTTGACCTCTTCAAATTCAATAACCTTTTTAAGTTTTCTAAGACCTTAGGTTTAGCTGTCACTTTAAAAATTTTTTAGGACTTTCCCTGTGTTAGGGTATTTTCGGACCTTAAACAGTTCAATAGACACAAACTCTGAAGTTATGAATATATATACAAACTCTGGTGTCCACCAAAATACGTGCCGTTCGCGCTGTTCAATCGATTCTCTCTGTCTTACATTGTCCTTGCCTTGTCATCGGCAGTAACTAATCTATCAAACAAAACTTTCATTTTCCATGACCTTCAAGGACCGACTATTAAATTCCATGACTTTCCAGGCCTGGAAAATGAAATGCTTAAATTCCATAACTTTCCAGGTTTTCCATGACCTGTACGAACCCTGTTTAAGGTCTTTCCCAGCCTCTGCGATTGTTAGGGTACCCCTAACACTTTGTCCTATCAATTCTCTTTGTCCAATCAAATGGTTCCCACCACTCGGCAAACTGCAAGACCTTTTTCTTATGTTCTTCAAAGTTCTCTCGCCTTGGTTTCCTCCACCTGCGCGGTTCAAGATCTAGCATCCCTCCTAAGATTTCTTTGCCAAAGTAATGCGGGAAAAGTTCTTCGTCCTCAATAACATGGGCAAATCCCCCGTCCAAGCCGAACTCTACGCTAAAGTAAGGAAGTCCCTTGGGCACTGCCCCGCGAAGTCCTTTCTTTCTAGTATCTATTAATTTCTTGTTTTGCGCCCATTCTGATTCCGATTCCATGATAGCTTTCTGTTAGTAAGGAATGTAAGGAAAGTGTTATAAAAGCTTAACAATAGAGCAATTTTTCTCTAGGTACATTCAACGACTTGCTGATCTCCTTAACAGTTAACAAAGATTGCAATCAGGAACATTTTCTTCTTCAAGTGGGATTTTGCAAAAAAAGCTCACTATGCTGTAAATAAGAAAAAACGTCCACTGATACGAATTCCACTTTGTTTTCCCTGTGTCACCTTTTAGACCTACCTTGAAGTAAATAGGAGACATTTCCCCGATTTCTTTGGGCATCGGTATACACTCTATAATCATGTGATGTTGTTTCTTTAAATGTTTACAAGTTTCCAGGAAAACCACGTCCTGTTCCTGTTGGAGAAGAAAAAGTCATTATAAAAACAAGACAGAGTGATTTCTTTTTTCTGAGTTACCTGTATCACTGACCGAACAAAATTCAGTCTCGTGTATTTTCCAGGCTGGAAACTCACCGCCACATTATATCTCTGCAAAACATACGGTCAAGTTCCGATAACTGGAACCCTAGCTAACTCGAACCTCGCGCTAACTGGAACCCAAATCGATTTCCCCTGGATTTAGTTTATACATTTACTGTAATTTTACTCTCCGCAACTCGAACCCTTGATTACTCCAACCTCCCGCTAACACGAAGTACTTTTTGCTTCCCTTCAGATGAGTTTTACATAATTTTACCCTCGATAACTCGAACTATGTTAAGCGCGCGACAAGTCGATTGAAAAAGAACAAAAGTGTGTACTGTGCAGTCCAAAAGATTGACTTTAATACTTCAAAACAACTGTATATTCTTCGAGCAAACAAATAACGGAAAATAATTTCCATAAGCTGCGGCACTTTAGAAAGTAAGAGAATGTTCAACAAAAAATAATGAACAAAAGTGCCGTGTTGTGCTTTGCGTTCCTCTCCAAACGTTTCGTGCCTGGGGCCCGTTTCTCGAAAGTCCCGATAATTAACGGGCCCGGTAAGCTGTCTCGGTTGCCATTAAAGATCGAGGTTTCAATAGTTTTGCATCTAACATGATAAAACTATCAGTTAAAGAAACAAAATGGAGTAGTTTGCTTGCCAGGAGCCGCGCTCTTATTCTTTTTATTTCGATTTGAATATTTGATTTCGGGCCCGAAAAGTTACCGGGACTTTCGAGAAACGGGCCCCTGGCCCTTCATCAGTGGAGTTACAAGTACTTGTAACTCCACTGATGAAGGGCCAAACCCGAGGCGTTTGGAGAGCAACTCAAACAACAACACGGCACTTCTGTTCGTTATTTTTTGTTGGTCATCAGCCCAGTTTAAGTACAGTGTCCAGCCCTGTATATTAATGAAGCTTTGTTGCCTAATTCCTTATTTCCGGTTTCTAGCGTCAAACTCCCGATAACTCGAACGTTTTTAGACTTTCCTAGAAGATTCGAGTTATCGGGAGTGACTGTATCACCTATCGATTATTCCATTCCAAGAAGCGTGCAGGCTGTTTGTCGTCTCCTGTAGCTCAGTGGTGGAGTATCTGGACTGGTATAAAGCAGGTCATAGGTTTGACTCCCGTTTGGAGATCTTAGATTCCTTTTTTTGCATTCGCCTTTTCTCTTGAGTAAAAATCATTCTCAAGCCCAAGGGTTTAAAAAAATAACGAGCTATACATTTGAAAGATAAAACGCTTTACTTCCCACTAGGCTGGATTCAAAGTTTCTCTGGTACTTGATTGTTCGAATAACGATAGCGCGCAATTCCAGGCGTTGAAATCATAGATTTTAGCTGTACGAAATAAATAAGAGTTGTCGACTCTTACCATTTCTTCAAACATCTTGGTTAGGCCTTTTTTGTAAATCTGTGGCGAAACAAATTTTAACAGGATTAGTTTAATTTTGGGCGACAAATTATCTTGTCGCTAGAAAGGAGATATAGACTAGACCTTTAAAGAGCACGTGTAGAGCGTCTTTTCAATTCTTTTGTACAAGATCTCAGAGTATCTATCCCGTTCCACATAGGTTTTCAAGCCCTTACTTTCTTTATTTCGAAAAAGCATAAAAACAAAAACAAACAAAACAAAACAAATCAAAAACATAATCTGGATTTGAAAAGAATGTAAAGGTATGTAAACGAAAACGCATAGGCAAACATTCATTGGCCACTTTAGAAACGAGAAAGAAACTGGGGCGAATTAATCTTCACAAAGACTTCTACGACTGTAACTAGGGACAGGGCAAACAAATTGGCCAACAGCTGAACGGCACGCCCCCAGTAACGATCCCATAATATAATAAAAACCTGGATTTCACTGCACACGTCTTCATCCAGGAGAGTAGAAGCTGAACAGTGCTGCATCGGTATAATTAAACAATGACCTTCCGTCATTGACTCGTGAAGAGGGACTGCCAAATAAACCTAGAAAAACAAAGTAGGTTATCCGGTTGAATATAAATGTGTGTACCCACTGTATCTTCTCTTGTAACAAAAGCTAAGCAAAGTGCTTTTAAGCTGCGGTTGCTCATTACTAATCGTCGTGAAAGCTTACTTCAAAAAGTTCTACGCGTTTGAAAACAGAACTGTAGAATTGCCAGCACCATTTAGTGCAAACAAAATGTAATTATAACATAGCTAGAAAATTCGCCTAATCAAATTCAATAGCGCGAGCGTGCTTCATATTCCTATTGAGCACGCTGATGACGTCAATAAACTATTCGTAATTCCTCGAGTTGTTGGGAGCTTAGCAATCCTGAGTCTCCCGAGTGCATCCATAACTCAGCAATAGACAATGAAGCGTTTACCATGTGTTTTATAAGGAAATTTAAGAGGAAAGGTTTGAATTTGTTAACCGATAGTAAGGAAAAGAGGTGAGTGTTGTTGTTGTTGTTGTCATCTCGGCGAGCTGTGCGGGCTATGGCGTGAGATCATTCTTTGCAAAGTTGTTTTCTCTCAATAACAATTTTTCGGTAAATTAAAAGTTTTCCGGCACCTAAATATGGATTTTGCAATCATTTTAGAGTACACTTTCTCTCAGTTTCAGGATAAAAACATAAGATTAACTGTGAGGAAAAAAAATATAGTCACGTAATCATTAACGCGTACTGCTTAAAATTTTCAGTTAACTGCTGCATTGATCGCTTTGATAATGTTATAAAACAATTAGTTCATGCTGCAGCTGTGCGTATGTCGAGATATTGAGCACTTGGGAAGTTTGGAGAGCACTCAAAAGGCTAGAGTTGCACTCGGCTGCGCCTCGTGCAACTCTTACGCCTCTTTCGTGCTCTCCAAACTTCCCGCGTGCTCAATATCTCGACATACGCACGCTGCCGCATGAACTAATTGTTAACTAAAGCGCGAAGACACTTAGAAGAAAAACCTCATTACTTTGAAAATGCCAAAGATCACTCCATTTAGTAGCTATTTTATACACCCTTTTCCATGTTTTCCCCACACGAGCATCGACCCTCATCTTTAGCTCATCTGAAGGACGTCATCATAACGCGTTTGGCATGGCTGCGCTCATTAAAGTCAAATCTATCAGGGCTGGAAATGACACCGCTCCTTCTCCTTGCTCTGCTACCTCGCGTTCCCTTGACGCGCGTGTTGTGAAAACGACAGCGTATGAGTCAGCCCCCTTCTCCCTAATGCCCCTCAAGCTAATCCCCATTTATAACTCCCAAAACAAATACTCTATTTGCCTTTGAAATGATACAGGGAATACACCTAACCAGGCTCTACACTTTACATAGCCTTTCACTGGACATTGTGCTTTCGGTTCGCTTCTCTCCCCCTCCCCCCTCCTCCAAGTGGCACACAGAAGCCTAAAAAATACTAAAATGTAAAGAGTCCTTATTTTACGTCGGTAGCTCAAAATAGTCATCTGACTAACAAACCTGAGGCCGAGGGTGCGCTCATTTTACCCCCCCCTTTCCATCAGTGCTCCGTTTTACGGATATTTAAAGCTACTTAAAAATCCGCGGCTACGCGGAAAGGAAAGAAGTCGAAAGAAGAATTCGAGGTCACATCTGGGAATCGAACTCTGGACCTCCCACACAGAAGGCTGCCCAATAACCAATTGTTCTAATCCTTTCTCTTTTCAAAGCCTGGCCTATATTTTGGAGGGGCTTATGTATTTTTTCTTTGCAGGTAGATGGGCCTTATCAAGTGGACCCACACAAGGTGAAGTATGAAATCTTCTCACTGGAGAGGATGCGACATGTCTCTGTGTCGGTGAAACGTTTGCGCCCACCTGAATACCTGAATACCTGACTACACATGCACTAAATCAGTAAAAAACTAGAATAAATGATTCTTTTTTGGGGGGTAGGCGAGGGGACTAGGCATTTTCTCTCTACTACCGTGCCTCAGATTGACTGATAAGTAAGTGAGTCAGACCCAGTCAACCTGGTCTGTGTCATTCCATCTACAGAGTAATCAGTCAATCAATCAATAAAACAATCGATCAACTTATCAGCCAGTCTGTAAGTTTGTCAGTAAATATCTACTTTCCAAGTTACCTTAAGACCGATAGCAATAATAAGGTGTTTTGCGATGTCCGGGTTTTCAAAGCAGAAGCGACATTTTGCCAGCTGCGCAGCCAAAATCCTATGCTCTGGAAAGAAAAAATCAAAACAAAAACTTGAATTACAATTTCTATGAAGCGCCACACATATCCATTCACAACAACAGAGTGGGTATTACGGGCCTTGCTAAAGGGACCATGCGGTAACCGCTACCCTTGGGTCAGAACCACGGTCTTTCACAAACCAAACAAAACAAAATGATCCTAAACTAGCATCCTTATGATAAACGCAATTTCTTAATCTTTTGTAACAAAAAAATTTATGTTTAACAACGAAAAGCCGGGCGTGTAGCGCGGGGGTACGCCGCCCGGGGTACGTTGGAATGCTCCGCCCCAAGCACCAACTACTTACCCTTTCATACACCATTTTTTACATAAAAGGTACCCCCTTCGTATACCTTGTTTTGACAAATGGTACTCCTTTCACATACCTAGTTTAGAACTTTGCATCCTTTTACCTTTTTGTAAATTCACTGTCTTCTAAATGTGAATAAATTCCAAAACCAGAAGGTTTTCTGGACTCTTTCACAGCCATAAAATGCATTCGCTGGTCCTTTTAGGCCTTTTTAGAATGACCGAAATGACACATTTCCTACCCTTTCAGATACTTTATCCACACAAACGAGTTATCCTTGACCAGTTTTCTTCTTTTCTTCAATTCTTCTTCATGTTTTTCACTTTACACGAGGAGGTTTTATCGAGGGAAACTTTAAAAGAAACTATGTTTGTGTTAACGGGACTTTAGTTTACTCCTTTTTGTTACGAAACTTGATGACAAAAAATCTGAAAATTGTCGCGCAATAAAAGAAAACCGCTTTCCTTCGTGAACTGGGATTGTTTTCCAAAGTCGAAGCACCTAGGTGTTCACAGTCATGCAGCAGTGAAGACTTCAGAAAGTACGGGAATATCGACTTGATATTTTAATATCAAATCGATATAATTAAATATAGTTATAAATTAAATATAATTAAATATGAATATAATTAAAATTACATTTATAAAATAATACCTCTGATTGCTTTCTGTCTTTCTCGTTCTTCTAATTGAGCGGGAGAAATTTTATTGGCAGCAGAGGACACAAAGTGATCATCTAACGTGAAGTCATCTGACCCTGCTCCCATTGAGGCCTATGGTGGATAATAAGAAAACGAAAAAGACAAGGATAAAATGTGATTTACGAGAAGTTCGAAGCAGATGAAAATTAAATGAACTACAATCATGGACAAAAGTTTTGGGACACTTTTGCATTTCTAGGCGTTTTCCAATTCACACAGGCCCAACGTCCCTTTCCCTCACCCCACAATCCAGAATTTTTTCTTTGTATAGGGTAGGGGAGGGAAAACTGCAAGAAAATTTCGAAAAGGATGCACTGTTTTACGAGGGACCCGGAATGACAGAAAAAATATGAATATTGCATTACTGTCCCAAGGACTTTTGTCCATGATTGTAGGTTCACTTTGTTCTTGAGCAGACAAGTATTGTTTTCTCCAAGAACAAAACATTTATGAACGGATACAGTGGCAAATGCTTGGTCAGCTACCAACAGAACCATGAACAAACGCCATCTTCAGTTTATTCTTCATAATTGCAGACTTTTAACGACAATAATTTTACATTTTTTGCCTAAAGTAAACATATTCATACCATTCTCTGATCAAGCTTACACACTTATGTCTCTGAATACTGACAGACTATAGCAATGTTAGGAATTGCTGAAATTTGAGGCGGATACACAAAATAATTTCAAGAAAGTCTTTTTTAAAAAGTCGAAATCTTACCAACCAACCATTTTACAGTATTCGATGACGGCCAATTCCTTGGACATTGACTAAAGAGAGTTAAAAACTGCATACACTATTCAGCGCTTTAAACTTTTGAATTTATTTTGTATATACGGCAACGCCTTCTATGGGTTGACTCGTATGCTCATAAGCAAAATTTAAACGACGTCAACCGCCGCTATAGGGATAACCTCATGATCCTCGTTCAGGTGTCGTAATGGCTACCTGCACTAAACAGTGTATGTATGTATGTAACAAAGACACATCGATATACAGTCGAAGCTCTCGTTAGCGACCACCTCGGAAATTCGAAAAAGTGGTCGCCGGTAACTTGAGAGCTGGTCTCTTACAGCATTGAGCCCCGATAAAACAATAAAGGAAGATCGCTTCCGAGAATTTAAAAACAAAGGAGAAGTCCAGTTGGGTAATCCCAAAAGTGGTCGCGGTCGCTTACGGGAGTGGTCGCTTGTGAGAATTTAAAAACAAAGGAGAAGTCCAGTTGAGTAATCCCAAAAGTGGTCGCGGTCGCTTACGGGGGTGGTCGCTTATGAGAATTTAAAAACAAAGGAGAAGTCCACTTGGGTAATCCCAAAAGTGGTCGCGGTTGCTTACGGGAGTGGTCGCTTATGAGAATTTAAAAACAAAGGAGAAGTCCAGTTGAGTAATCCCAAAAGTGGTCACGGTCGCTTACGGGAGTGGTCGCTTATGAGAATTTAAAAACAAAGGAGAAGTCCAATTGGGTAATCCCAAAAGTGGTCGCGGTCGCTTACGGGAGTGGTCGCTTATAAGAGTTTAAAAACAAAGGAGAAGTCCACTTGGTAATCCCAAAAGTGGTCGCGGTTGCTTACGGGAGTGGTCGCTTATGAGAGTTTAAAAACAAAGGAGAAGTCCACTTGGGTAATCCCAAAAGTGGTCGCGGTCGCTTATGAGAGTTTAAAAACAAACGAGAAGTCCACTTGGGTAATCCCAAAAGTGGTCGCGGTCGCTTACGGGAGTGGTCGCTTATGAGAGTTTAAAAACAAAGGAGAAGTCCACTTGGGTAATCCCAAAAGTGGTCGAGGTCGCTTACGGGAGTGGTCGCTTATGAGAGTTTAAAAACAAAGGAGAAGTCCAGTTGGGTAATCCCAAAAGTGGTAGCGGTCGCTTACGGGAGTGGTCGCTTATGAGAGTTTAAAAACAAAGGAGAAGTCCAATTGGGTAATCCCAAAAGTGGTCGCGGTCGCTTACGGGAGTGGTCGCTTATGAGAATTTAAAAGCAAAGGAGAAGTCCAGTTGAGTAATCCCAAAGGTGGTCGCGGTCGCTTACGCGAGTGGTCGCTTATGAGAATTTAAAAACAAAGGAGAAGTCCACTTGGGTAATCCCAAAAGTGGTCGCGGTTGCTTACGGGAGTGGTCGCTTATGAGAATTTAAAAACAAAGGAGAAGTCCAGTTGAGTAATCCCAAAAGTGGTCACGGTCGCTTACGGGAGTGGTCGCTTATGAGAATTTAAAAACAAAGGAGAAGTCCAGTTGAGTAATCCCAAAAGTGGTCGCGGTAGCTTACGGGAATGGTCGCTTATGAGAATTTAAAAACAAAGGAGAAGTCCAGTTGAGTAATCCCAAAAGTGGTCGCGGTCGCTTACGGGAGTGGTCGCTTATGAGAGTTTAAAAACAAAGGAGAAGTCCACTTGGGTAATCCCAAAAGTGGTCGCGGTCGCTTACGGGACTGGTCGCTTATGAGAGTTTAAAAACAAAAGAAGAAGTCCACTTGGGTAATCCCAAAAGTGGTCGCAGTCGCTTACGGGAGTGGTCGCTTATGAGAATTTAAAAACAAAGGAGAAGTCCAATTGGGTAATCCCAAAAGTGGTCGCGGTCGCTTACGGGAGTGGTCGCTTATAAGAGTTTGAAAACAAAGGAGAAGTCCACTTGGGTAATCCCAAAAGTGGTCGCGGTTGCTTACGGGAGTGGTCGCTTATGAGAGTTTAAAAACAAAGGAGAAGTCCACTTGGGTAATCCCAAAAGTGGTCGCGGTCGCTTATGAGAGTTTAAAAACAAACGAGAAGTCCACTTGGGTAATCCCAAAAGTGGTCGCGGTCGCTTACGGGAGTGGTCGCTTATGAGAGTTTAAAAACAAAGGAGAAGTCCACTTGGGTAATCCCAAAAGTGGTCGAGGTCGCTTACGGGAGTGGTCGCTTATGAGAGTTCAAAAACAAAGGAGAAGTCCAGTTGGGTAATCCTAAAAGTGGTAGCGGTCGCTTACGGGAGTGGTCGCTTATGAGAGTTTAAAAACAAAGGAGAAGTCCAATTGGGTAATCCCAAAAGTGGTCGCGGTCGCTTACGGGAGTGGTCGCTTATGAGAATTTAAAAGCAAAGGAGAAGTCCAGTTGAGTAATCCCAAAAGTGGTCGCGGTCGCTTACGCGAGTGGTCGCTTATGAGAATTTAAAAACAAAGGAGAAGTCCAGTTGGGTAATCCCAAAAGTGGTCGCGGTTGCTTACGGGAGTGGTCGCTTATGAGAATTTAAAAACAAAGGAGAAGTCCAGTTGAGTAATCCCAAAAGTGGTCACGGTCGCTTACGGGAGTGGTCGCTTATGAGAATTTAAAAACAAAGGAGAAGTCCAGTTGGGTAATCCCAAAAGTGGTCGCGGTCGCTTACGGGAGTGGTCTCTTATGAGAATTTAAAAACAAAGGAGAAGTCCAGTTGAGTAATCCCAAAAGTGGTCGCGGTCGCTTACGGGAGTGGTCGCTTATGAGAGTTTAAAAACAAAGGAGAAGTCCACTTGGGTAATCCCAAAAGTGGTCGCGGTCGCTTACGGGACTGGTCGCTTATGAGAGTTTAAAAACAAAAGAAGAAGTCCACTTGGGTAATCCCAAAAGTGGTCGCGGTCGCTTACGGGAGTGGTCGCTTATGAGAGTTAAAAAACAAAGGAGAAGTCCAGTTGGGTAATCCCAAAAGTGGTCGCGGTGGCTTACGGGAGCGGTCTCTTATGAGAGCTTTTTATTACAAAGTATAAGTCACAGTTCAAACGGGGTTCTACAAAGGTGATCGTAACTAGAGCTGGCCGCAAGGAGAACTTCGATTGTAATGTATTGTTACGGTTAGTGTGAGTTTGCTTACCTTTGAAGATAGTCTCGCCATCATAGCATTGTGATCTTCAGCCGTTCGCATTTTTTCTCGTCTGACCATTTCTTTTAAATCATATCTGTCATCATCTGCAAAATACCGCTCTCTCTTGCCTTCTTTATCGTGCGTATCCACCTGCAGCAGATAACATCAAATTAAAAGGGCTTTGTCACGGCTTTCTTGTTCATTTTGTTTGTGGATGCCAGTTACGCCTCCTTATTCGCTATGAAACTTGAGAAATTACTTTTGAATGGCAAAATTACTGCTTCGAGTCAAGCAAATATGTTACCCGAGCTAAGCATAAAAATCAAACGTTACAAACAACAAAACTAAACTTTGAAAAACTGTTAGGCTAACACGTTTTCAAAAACCACAAGTGCAATCCGTTTCAATCTTCTTCACATTTGTACATCCGTGTTTCCTTTATTTTTTGCTGTGTCATTTTTACCTTCGTTTAACCTTCTGAGCTGTTATATCGATGGTTCACTCAATTTGGTCAATGATTTTATTACAAATAGTTAAGGTGAGTCCTGGGACTCATCTTGCGAACAAATTATGAGTCCCACTCCAGAACCACTGAGTCCCAGTTCAAAAAACAATAGTTCCTACATGGAAAATGCTTGGGCCTTTATGTGGCCCGAAAGATAAAACATATTCTTTTGTAAAGCACAACGAAGACTTAAAGAAGTATGCATCGTTAAACAACAGCCACAAGAACAGCCACAGAAATCAAAGGAACAGGATATTCTACAAAAACTGCGTCCTACCGGATGCTTACCATCAACGTTTGTTTAGTAAAAAGTTCTAAGTGTTTCAAAACTGGAACTGGTGTTGCTGCCAGCGCCATTTGTCAACAGAATCTTGACTCGTTCACGATGCGTTTTTAGCAAGAAAGAAGCTTATTATTTCGAGGAAAATGCAAAGATAGTCGTATAAACCAATTCTTTCATACATCCAGGTGAATGTTTCCACTTAATAGTGAATAAAATCCCCCTAAATAAAATAATAATAATAAGAAAAAAAAAACGCCTCGGACGCTTAACCGCGGTGAACCTAAGCTACTACATGTGTAGTAATCGGCTGTGCGCATGCTTAAGGTTGTAGCGACAACACGACCGCGAGGATGATACGGGTAATAAGGTGCTATTCACCGACATTTGGTTCAAACTCATTTTACTTTTTCCGGAATGCAACCTCAAAGTTCGTTTTTTCTCCCGCTCAGATACTTACCTTCTGTCGCTTCTTCCGTTTCCCTCGGTGCTCTCGTTCGGTTGTCATTTCTAGTGGTCTGATGTTACCGGCAGCGTCTGTTCGTGTTAGCACCACTATCTCTTCACTGCGTCCGCTATCTCCACTGTCCAAGGCTTGGGATTCCTGAAGTTCTTTAGTCTTTCTCATTTCCTCCAACTGGGCTTTAAGTTTGACTGCTAACTCCTTTGACAAGAAGAAACACATTGAGTATTGCCCTACTTGACGAGACGAACGAGGCAGCGATGGACTTCCTATCCGGAGGTTACTAGTTGAAGCCCCGCCCTAACATCTTGCTGGATTTATTCTCGGGAGCCCATTTCCAGGTTGACTCGAGCCTCTTTCAAAACGAGACTACGTGCGAAATATTCGACATGATGACTTTTTTTATTCTCATAAAAGTAAAACTCATTTTCACTTCAAAAGTTGGTCCCATTTTCAAAGTGAGGGTTTTGGGACTCGCAAATTATCTAATCAGCTAAATTCGCACGATGTTCGTCCCA